AATAGGAATTTAATAGTAGACGTTTCTTAGAGTTGCCTAATAAATGCCATCTGTTTTTATGGTAATAGTTCTTATATCTCATTCAAATGTCAAGTGTTCCCCTTCCCCCAATTTCCCAGCTGTTTCCATCCTCCAATTCCCCCATAAAAAAAAAAAAAAAAAAAAAACCCAAACAAACAAACAAAGAATACTCACCTTAACAATTTCCAGACAGCAGTGGTAAGTTTCAACTTTCACTTGTAGCAATGGGTGAGACAACATCCGCACAAACACCTTCTGACTTTCTCCTTGTAGTAATGGACTCGCCTGTGCAGATTTTGAGCTGGTGAGAAGATAAAACATCTAAGATCTCTAAGGCAAGGAAGTTACTAAACAAGAGACACTGAAACACATAGTAGAAGGAATTTCTTCCGACTAGGATCTTACTTATATCACCAAATATTACTATTTACCAAAGCACACACTTGTTTCAAGGTAGTACCAAAAAAAAAAAAAACCCAAAATGTTTTTAAAATATTTGGAATATTTTAAAATATTCCCAAATATTTGGAATGTAAATTGGTACAGCCATTATGCAACACATATAAAGGTTCCTCAAAAAATTAAAAATATAATTATCATATGATCCAGCAATCCCACTTCTGGGTATTTATCCAAAGGGAATGAAATCAGAATCTCAGAGATGTCTCATGCTCATTGCAGCATTACTCACAATAGTAAGATATGGAAACAACCCAAGTGTCCATCCATGGATGATCAAATAAAGAAAATACGGTGTGTATATACAATGGAATATTATTCAGCCTTAAAAAAAAATCCTTTTATTTGTGACATGGATAAGCTGGAGGACATGGTGCCAAGTGACACAAGCCAGGCACAGAAAACTAAATGATGCATGATCTCACTTATATGTGGATCTGAAACAGTCAAATCCATAGAAGCAGAGAGTAGAAGGGTACTTGAGAAGGGCAGGTGGTTATCAATTAGAAGATAAATAAAGAAACCAATATTCTTGAATACTTGGCTTGAACGCATACCAAAATGAATGTATAAAAATCCAAGGATAATTCATTTTGATTATAGGCATGACATTTTTAAAGTTTACTCTTGAATAAAACAGTTAACTGCCCTAGTGCAGCTGTGTATATAGAGTTTAATGGTCAGACACATATAAATTTAAGACCAGTTTCATTTTCATTGCTCCAAAATTCACACACACACACACACACACAC